GTGGTGTATTTTCTCGTGAGGTAGTTGGGCGTAGCCAGAGACTGGTTGAGCCTGTAGGTTCCTGGAATCCAAAGAACTTCCCCGGCATCGAATTTGAAAGACGCAACGTTGTATTTTTCCTTTAAGTATATAGTTTTGTCCAAATACCAGCTGACAGCTTTCGGGTTGGTAAAGTCCAAGACTCCCGCAAAAGACCCCTTCCACCAACTGACCAAATGAGGATCGTCCGAATTCAAATTTTTTATAAGAAAACCTTCCCCAGAAAGTTCACGGAAAGCATCCGAGTCATTGTTGAAAAAAGGGTGCATCCACACTGTGATGGGGATTCCCATTCCGTTCAGTTTCGCAATGAGGGCGGATGCGTCAGGAAATTTGCTGGTGCTAAAATTAAAGTCTCCGTAATGCGGGGTCCAGTCATCGTCGATCTCAAGTTGTGAGATGTTGAATCCGTGGTCGGAAATTTGTTCCGCAAAGTCCAGAACCGTTGACTCGTTGATGTCCGACTTGTAAGTAGCCCATGTGCACCAGATGGGGGAGCGAAATAGGTCGACCGATGGGGCTGACAGAGGTCTAGAATAGTGTAAATCGGACATGCCCTTCCACATCGTGAGTAAGTTGGTGGACTGGCAGATGTCGTATTTTAAAAACGGTTTTGGGATGCTGAAAAATGGAGTGTCGCTGCCGACTTTCCCTCTGAGACACAACATTTCCGAAGATTTTTCGTTGACCCCGAGGTACAAGGGGGACAACTCGTCCACATATATGCCAACTCCAGCAGACGACAGGAAAATGCCCTCTATAACACCGCCGTAAGCATCCGTGGCATACGTGTCACCAGTGATGAAAGCAGACGAATTCATCTCTAGATTGTTCATGGGCCAGAACTGATAGGACTGCTCAAAGCCACCGTACCAGTAGAAATCAGCCATGTCATAGCAGTCTTTAGGCGTTTCTTGCTTGTCTCCTGTTGACGTCCACGAAACGGTGACACACTCAAAATCCACATCATATCGCAGTAGGCTGAAAGTTTTGTTTACAATCTCGAGCTTCAACCCCGAGTTCCACTCCAGACAAAGCCCACCATCTCCCCCCTTCCCCTCAGGACGACACCTGACCGCGTCTGACGTGTCCATGCCTATGGCCAGCTGACCTCTCAGCTTGTCTGCTGCATCGCCTTTCATGCTCAAGGCGACACCGCTTCTGGTCAGTGTGAACTGGACGTTGACGTTTACGCCTCTGTCCTTTGGAGTGGTAGGCCCACCATCGTCGTCATTAAAGTACTTATGCCATATGTAGACACTGACACCAGCTAGAATGCCAATCATGAGCAGCAAGCATACGATGAAGATGAAAATACGGACCTTTGATGACATCATCTTGGCCTAAATAGACATGCAAAAAACAGAGTTATGGCTTGTACATTAAATAACTGCAGCCATAATATACACTGAGTTTAACACATCAGTCGGCCTCTATAGCTGACGTTTACAGCCAAGGCCGACATGAGGATATATTATATAAGATAATATGTATATAATAAAGAAGCCCGATGTTCTAGCTACACGGCTACAAAGATGTAGTCAGCAATATTAGAACACCCTCTCCCGTCCCTCCTCTCAGGTTGGAGGCTATATTGGTGATCAATTGGTCGAGCTGGGTACCCCGCATTCAGATAAGTCTGGTGAGAACCAAAGCGACCAATACACAGTAATCAAACCGATATCCAAGTCAGTTAGTCGTAGTTTGTCGTGTTGAGGCCTGGCTGGCTAATGGGAGACACCTCTTGAGCCGGTGATGTCCGTAAAGAAAGAAAGAGCACTTCAGATTCCAACGTTTTTGTGTGTGTACAAATCGTAACTTTTCTGTGTTGAAGTATTGACACATTTATCACCGTGACGATAAAGCCCCATAACCCCCACCCCATCCCTCCTACCCTTTTAACAAAAATCAATGTAACGAAATGTTAAAGTTATAAGCTAATAAGTAAACACTGGTATTTATATAATCATGTGTACACAGTAAGACGACCTTCCAGCACGCAGGCAGCGCATCACCTTGAATCAAGCAATCAATGAGTTAAGCAGCGCACTAGTAGTACTGCACGCTTAAAACAAAGTATAAAGTAGGGCCTAGTATGACTACACACCAGCAGCTTATCTAAAAAATTCAACAAATTGCACTGGAAGTTTAAATAAAAATAATGGAAAGAACTACTACCAGCAAGTTATCAAATTTTTATCAATAACCGGAATGTTTCGGTTAAAACCTTGACGTCATTTATGTGGGCGATATCATTACATTGGTGTAGTAGGGTATCATTTAACGCCCTGAGTTCCCCATTGGCTATCTCTGCACGTGAGATCCGTTGAATGGGCGTACTGCAAAGGGTATTCAACTGTCTAACATGCACCTCGCATCATACGGCGCCCAGCGGTTGAATGACCTGGAGCACTCCGGGCTAACACATGAACACTATGGCGCCTACATTAGTTTTAAAGAG